AAACGTCAGCCTCTCTGCTCCTATGATGCTGCTTGGCCTGCTGTGTTCATCCAGCCCTGCACCTCGTTGTTAGATAGAAGACATTGGTTTCGGCCTATTTGGAGAACTACACGACTTATGATCAATTTTGGAAGCCAATCTTTGTTTGGTTTATTATTGTCACATGTACTGAGATACAGTGAAACGTACTGTTTTGCGTGTTGACCAGACAAATCATACCTTACATAAGTATATTAGGGTAATAGAAGATAATATTTCAACAAAAAAAACTGCATAATATATACTTTTATTCAAGTACCTTTCACAGTTATGGGACGTCTCAAGTCATTTTTAAGTGTAGTCACTGATGAAATCACAGCAGCGCAGATGAAAGTGATTGACTCCCACAAAGAGCAATGCGATAATGATCAAATAATGTTTTTTGTGATGTTGGTGAGGGAGCAAAATTGATCAGGTTGTCAAGAGTCATTCCCCTGTACTTCTTAGAAATAGTGGCATTGGATTTTTCATTATCCACCCACGGAAGCAGGTAAGGCCTCTGTTTAATGCCTCAAAAATGAAAGCTGCTATAGTCCCAGGTGGAGCTCTTATTAGACAGAAGTGACTGATGTTAATTTTATCCTGGGGTTCACTAGGCAGGGCCTTTGACTCTGCAAACTAGCTTTGCAAACTAGCATCCAGCCAACTGAGCTGCTGACTGCCCATTACATTTCAGTCCACTCATTGCAATCAATAGCAGTGACATTCAATGAAATTTCACTTGACACTGAAGAATCAGTTTTGCCTGAATAAAAGCTGCAAATAAAAACCAAACGGAAAGTAGTACAAAGTTAGAATTCTGTTAAGACAAATGGACAAGTTTATATTTTGAGTGCAAACCTTCATCTGAAGGCCCTTGATCTGAAGAAGGTTGGTACCAAAATTCAAATCTGTCTGTTCTCACTGATTACTGCTGACTGGCCTCTTGTGCATTTCCAGTATTTTCTTCTTCCTTCAAAAGTAATTTATTATTTATTTCTGTGAACTTCTTGGCCAGTGTGTGGTTTTTGGGACTTGGGAACAGCCAAGGATGGAACGTAATAAGAGTGCAGGAGCAAACAGGAATCTTTATTTAAACACTGCCTCCAAGCTTTCATTTACTGGTGCTATTCTTTCTGGCATCTACTAGTAAAACATATATAAAAGCTGCGTTTCAAAACAGTACAATGCTATAATTTCCTTCATAAGACCATATATTTGTTACAAATTAGTATTACCTGCTTTCCTGCTCATTCACGCAATTTGTGAACGTATGATGTGCATATGTTCTGATAAGTATTTACATCTACCCCATGTCACAGTTAGTTGTTTTTTACTGGTGTGGACATGAGGGGCCAAAGGGCCTTTTTCTATGCTGTAGATCTCAGTGACTCTGGGGTGGAAGGCTGTAATGATTATGGCAAAAGGGGTACTGATGCAAACAAAATGTGATAATTAAAAGAAATAGAGTAACTATAGTGTATCCAATTGCAATGGTCAAACCAGTAAATGCAGCACACAACTGCACAGAATGTTAAATTAAGAGTGAGCTTAATGAAACTGATCTTAAAAATTAAACTCTTAGTGAAGTCTAATGTTTGCTTACATTTAGCAACTAACATAAAATTACTGATAAAAGAGGCAAGTTATTGCTTAGAAGAAGTGTTCAGTTTTTTTTTTCCTGGCTAAAGGAGAGATAAAGAAATGCTCAGAGCTGCTGTAACTAGTAGGTTTGCTAACAAGCTAACTAGCTTGAATTTAGCAGCTCTAACTGACAGCTTTTCAAAGAGTATAAATGCAGGTAAAAGGGTGTTCTGGTGCAGTGTCCCTTTTTCTGGGTCAGAAGGCCGGGTTCAAGACCTATCTGCTCCAGAGGTGTACACAACAGCTCTGAACAGGTTGATTAAAAATAATAATAAACATAGGTGTCTCACTGCTGCCTGTCTGTACTGAGAGTTGCTCGAGTGCACAGAATATGAAACGAGGAGTCAGGCAAGGAGAGGAACAACAACGTAACTAAACAGATACATTCAAATATATAATTAAGGTTGCGGGTAAAGTGACATGTTATGGCTGAGAATGTGGGTGCTCTTGGGTTCCACACAGCAATCCTTGTAAACCACATCTGTGAACCATGAGGAGGATGCAAAGACACTTCAAAGGGTTTTAGGCTGTGTGTGAGCAAATACATGGCTCTCCATTTTGGTAGGAAAACATAAATACAGAGTATTTATTAAATAGTGAGAAGATGTAAAGTGTTACATTTCAAAAGGGCCTGGGTGTCCCTGTTAATGAGACACTGAGCATTAACTTGCAAGCACAGCAAACAATTGAGATGCCAAATGGTATGTTGACCCTGTATTAGAACAATATCTTACTGCAATTATGTAGGGTTTTAGTGAGACCACATTTTGAGTGTTATGTACAGTTTTGGTTTCCTTCCCAAACAGAAGATACATTTGCCATTGAGGGAGTGCAGTGAAGGCTCATCAAAATTCCTGAGCTGGTGGGATTATCCTATAGGGAAAGATTGAATAGACTGGACCCATATTCTCTGGATTTTTGAAGAATGAATGGTGATCTCATTCAATTTCACACAATTCATATGGGATCATCAAAGCCTCTGAGGAGGAGATAGACTAGTTGTTTATCGGTAGACTATGGATCTAGGCCGGTTTGCATCTTGCTATTGGCAGATGGTGGAATTTGAATGCAATAAAAATCTGGAATTACGAGTCTAATGATGACCATGAAACTATTGTTGTTTGTCAGAAAAATACACCTGCTAATGTATTAATGTGAATAGAGAACTGGATGGCAGACAGTAGGAATAAACGGGTCCTTTTCAGAGTGGCAGGCAATGACGAGAGGGGTATTGCAGGGTTCAGTACTGTGACCCCAGCTGTTCACAATATACATTAACAATTTGGACTAAGTAATTGAATACAATATCTCCAAATCTGCAGATGACACTAAGCTAGGTGGCAGTGTGTGATCTGAGGAGGATGCTAAGAGGCTGCAGGGTGACTTGGACGGGCTGGGTCAGTGAACAAATACTTGGCAAATCCAATATAATGTGGATAAATGTGAGGTTATCCACTTTGGTGGCAAAAACAGGAAGGCAGAATGGTGGCAGTTTAGGAAAAGGTGAGATGCAATGAGACCTGGGTGTCATGGTGGAACAATCACTGAAGGTTGGCATGCAGGCGGTGAGGAAAGCTAATGGCATGCCAGCCTTCATAGCACGAGGATTTGAGTATAGGAGTAGGAATATTTTGCTGCAGTTAGGCCACACCTTGAGTATTGTGGCAGTTTTGGTCTCCTAATCTGAGGAAGGACATTCTTGCTATTGAGGGAGTCAAGCGAAAGTGCACCAGACTGATTCCCAGGATAGCAAGACTGACATAAAGAGAAGGCTGGATTGACTGGGCTTGTACTCACTGGAATTTAGAAGAATGTTGGAGGGGTGAGGAATCTCATAGAAACATATAAAATACTGGTGGGACTGGACAGGCTAGATGTGGAAAGAATGTTCCTGAAGTCCAGAACTAGGGGTCACAGTCTAAGAATAAGGGATAAGCCATTCAGACTGAGATGAGGAAGAATTTCTTCACTCAGAATTACGAACATGTGAAATTCTCTACCACAGAAAGTTGTTGGAGCTAGTGCTTTAGATATATTCAAGAGGGAGCTGGATGTGGCCCTTCAGCTAAAGAGATCAAGCAATATGGAGTGAAAACAGGTGTGGGATACTGAAATTGCATGATCAGCCATGATGTATTGAATGGTGATGCAGGCTCAAAAGGGCCGAATGGCCTACTTCTGCACATATTTTCTACCTTTGCAATGTTCACTGCCCTTTAGGGAATGAAACAGCCACTCTTACCTGGTTTGACCCAAATGCAACTCCAGACCTCTAAGCAATTAGGGACAGGCAACAAATGCTGGCCTAACCAGCAACACTCACATCCCACGAATGAGTTAAAAAAGGTAGATGCAGGAAGGATATTTACCTTTGCTGGGGATCTTGTATCAGGTTACGCAGTCTCACAATTAGGGTCAGGCTATTTATGACAGGGATGAAGATGAATTTCTTAATAATTCTCTGCAGAAAAGGGCTGTGGGGGCTCAATTTTTGAGTACATTCAAGACTGACATTAATAGATTTCTGTTGCTAAAAACACTAAGAAATCTGGTGATAATGCATGAGAATAGTGTTGAAACTGGAGATCCACCATGATCTCACTGAATGGCAGAGGGGGCTCAAGGGACTGAATGGTCCACTCCACTACTATTTCTCAAGTTTTAACTGCAAAAGAATGAATCATCAAAAGTATCGATGATGAAGTATCCGGGCCCAAAACGTCGACTTTCCTGCTCCTCTCATGCTGCCTTACCTGCTGTGTTCCTCCAGCTCAACACTGTATCAACTCTGACTGCCAGCATCTTCAGTTCTTACTATCTCCCATCAAAAGGTATTTGTTTGGCTTCACTTCTAAATCTGCTTTCTTACATACATACCATATAACATCTTTGAATTACAACGAAAAGCCTTAATATTACTTACGGAGTTATCTGGGTCAATCACAGAACATGAATCGGTCCTAAAACAGGTTTAAGTCACAGTTCGACTGCGGATGCAATCGGTTTGACGTTTCCAAATCCTGACTCTGTGGCTCAATCCACGGAATGTGGATTTACTCTTTAGCTGGCCCAGACTGGGACAAGATACCCGTCCCCTTCTTCCCCCCGCTACCCACACACACACCTGTGTAAGCTTGCTATCTGTGCGTTAGTCTAGCTGCAGCAGAGGCTTTGCTTAGGTTCATTCATTCATTCATCTGTCCGTCTCCTCTGCATTCGCTGCAACTTTCAAATTTGCCGGCGTCAATTACACCAATCAGAAGAAGGATCTTTAAACCATTAGCCAATCACTTCCTCGTGACGTAACGGCTTGGACGACCTCCATTGTGACGTTGCTGCGGGGCGTTCGGCTGCAACATTTGCGGGGCACAGAGTAAAACATGCTGCCCCAGACAGTGAAAAGAAATGAACGTGCGATGAGGGGGCTTACTATGCGAGAAAAGGCATAGCTGAATAAAATATATCTTATTTTCGTTTTCGAGAGTTCGCAGTTATTTTTAACGGCAGGGAACGACGCAGAACTTTTCCAAGTTTTACAGAGAATGTTAATATTCCTGCGAAACGCCTGATTGAAACATTTAATTGCAATAAATGGAACGGCGCTGATTAAATAAAAATTGTTGTTGGGAGAATGTACATATAGAGTGAGCTTTTTGTTCAATGCCCAGGATTGAGGTGAAAAAGCAGAAGCTTCATCATTTAAATACCTAAGCTAAAATAAACCACAGCATTTTACGGTAGTTATAAATAGAGATAACACAGAGTGGAGCTGGAGGAACACAGCATCAAAGGAGCAGGAAAGTTGCCATTTCCGGCCGGGTCCCTTCTTCAGAAATAGGGAGAGGGAGGGGAGCTCAGAAATAAATAGAGAGGAGGGGGTGGGGCTGGGTAAGGTAGGTGGGATAGTGATAGGTGAGTGCAGGTAGTGGAGTGGTGGGGATTGGTCAGTGGATGGGAGGGCTACATAGGTGGGAGAGAAGATGGACAGGTTGTGTCAGGTCAAGGAGCCGGGCTGAGAGAGAGGGAGGGTTGGTCATAGGATGAGGCTGAGGGTGGGGAGATTTTGAAACTGGTAAAATCCACGTTTAGGCCATTGGGCTGTCGGCTCCCAAGGCAGAATATGAGGTGTTGCTCCAGTTTGCGGGTGGTGTCATTATGACACTGGAGGAGGCCCAGGATGGACATGTCACCCAGCGAGTGGGATGGGGAGTTGAAATGGTTTGTGACTGGAAGGTGTTGTTTGTCGCAAACAGAGCGCAGGTGCTCTACAAAACGGTCTCTGAGCCTCTGATTGGTCTCACCGATGTAGAGGAGGCCATATTGGGAGCAGCGGATGCAGTAGACCACATTAATGGATGTGCAGATGAACCCCTGTCTCATGTCGAAGGTTTGTTTTGTAACTTGAATGGAGGTGAGGGGGGAGGTGTAGGGGCAAGTGTAGCACTTCCTGCATTTGCAGGGAAAGGTGCCAGGGGTGGTGGGGTTAGTGGGGAGTGGGGACTGGATGGCAGACAAGGGAGTCGCAGAGAGAGTGGTCCCTACGAAAGACAGATAGGGGTGAGGAGGGAAATATATCTTTGGTTGTGGGGTCGGATTGTTGGTGGCAGAAGTAGCAGAGAACGATATTTTGGATACGGAGGTCCAAGGGGTGATATGTGAGGACAAGGGGGATTCTGTCTTTATTTTTGGTGAGGAGAGGGAATGTGAGGGCAGAGGTGCGGGAAACGCAGATGTGGTTGAGGGCACTTTTGATCTCTGAAGGGGGTAAGTTGCAGTCCTTGAAATAGGAGGACATCTGGGATGTGCGGCAGTGGAATGCCCCTTCTTGGGAGCAGACGCGCGGAGGCGTTGGACTTGGGAGTAGGTTTGCGATAGCTTACAGTTTTAATTTTAAATGCGTTTGCAAACGGAAAATCAATTACCGGATAATACTATTCCCCACTTTTTGGGGACCGTTCTAGTAAGAGTTGCGTTTATATAGTGCTTTCTTTAAGAAAGTCCAATACTCCTTAAGGATAACCGTTGATGTAGAAAATGCAACAAGCTCCACCATATGATAATGACCAGTTCTTTTTAATGTTGATTGAAGGATTAAGATTGACAGCAACGGGAATGTCTTTCTTTGAAATAACATTGTGGAATATTTTGCATCCACTTAAGAGGATAGACAAGGCCTTGATTTAACATACAGTATTACCTGAAAGATAGCAACTCCAAATGGTGCCTCACTCCCTCTGTACTGTGCTGGAGTATCAGTTTGTAATCCTGACTCTGCAGCAGAGCCTGAACTTGACCTTTCTGACTCAGAGATGCAAGTGCTACCAACCAACCATAATTTGAAAAATATGAAAGCTTATAAAAATCACATTGCCAAAGATTGCACAACTGACATATACAATGTGAATGAAATGGTCTCTGATGTTCAACACGGCAGTTGGTCGAATCTGCAGATCTATGAATCCCATTGACCAAAAAAAAACTTGTATTTCACATCTAATGCTGAAGTGAGAAATTTCTGCCATGTGGCAGAATTCTGACTTTTGGATCACAAATTCCACCCTGATTATTGCGGCCTTCACCAGGCCTATGGGAGCTGTCTCGCAGCCCCTCAGCTTCTGAGCCGCTTTTATCCAAGGCCCCATTACTGATGAAGTAACTCGGCTTCAACTCAACAACAGTCCACCTTTCAGCTTCAGTTTCTGACTGAGATTCCAGCCAGCTGGATTTCAATCACCTCCCACCCTCAGCAGCAATCGCTACTGTGCATTGCCTCCGGTTTGACCTTCTCTGGGAAATGGTGGATTTGTGGTAATGCCACTGGACTAGCAATCTTGAACCCCAGTTTAATGTTCTGGGATCATGGGTTCGAATCTGATCAGGAAAGGTGTGAAATTTGAACTTAGTAAAACCTGGAATTTAAAACTAGTCTAATGGTGGCCACTTGATAGTTGTAAAACCCATCTGATTCACTAATGTCCTTTAGGGGTATTAATAAGGTTGTTGTAAGCTTATCATTTAGGGAAGAAAACCTGTGATTCTTACCTGGTCTGGCCTATATGTGACACCAGATGTACCTCAGTGTAGGTAATGCTTAACTAGCCTCTGGGAATTAGGAGTGGGTAATAAATATTGGCCTAGCCAGCAAGACCAACATTCCATGAACAAATTAAAAATTCTCAGGACCTGAGCAACCTGCTTCCTAGCCCACCAGGGTTTGAGCTCCCAGGGCCTGAAGTCCCCTGTGGAGAATGCTCACCCTTACCCAGCAGCATGGATCCAAGTGGCAGTAACCTAGGAGGAGCTGCACACACCCACTGACAGGAATGGTGGCAGCAAGAAGCAGGCATGTCTGCGAAGGTGGAGAAATCCAGATTGGTGAGGGGTGGGGCTGTGCTGAGAAAGAGGGAATGAGTGGTCAGTTGGGTGAGGAGAGGGGGAAGATCTGATCGAATGAGGACAGAGAGGAAATGTGTGACAGTTAGTTAGGGAGAGAGGGGATGAGTGAGTGAGGGAAATGCAGTTTGGGAAGTGGTGATGCTGAGCAGAGAGCGGATTTGGGAAGAGGGGTTTGTGTGGATGTGTGTGTGTGTGGATGTCTCTGTGTGTGTCTAGTGTGTGGGATGCAGGTGAAGGGGCTGCTTACAATTTTGTGTGAGTGAAGGAGTGGGGCTTCACCGAGTCTCATGTTACTGATGAATATGGAGAGCTTGGCTGCAATCCAGATAAAATAATTTTTTTGCAAATTCCTTTGCTTTACTTCACATACATAAACCAACAAGATCATATTCTGTTGTTAGTATGGACTTCACCCTGTTTTACATGCATTAAATGCTGAGGTCACTTTAGTGACTTTTTACGAATGCATTGGTCCATATCCAAGATAGTAATAGAAAGTAAGCAAAAGGAAAAAGTGCAGGTGATAAGTTAAAGGAACATGTTGATAAGTAATTCAAAGAAAAACTTAATTGCATTGAAAAATGTAAATTTGTTAAATTGATCAGGAAAGAAAAATCAGTTTCATAATTGGAATTCCTGATTATTCATATCAGAAAATATAGTTTGGAGTAATTTTGTATTACTAATTTCCCTTCATGAATTCCATTTCTGTTAAGAATAATTGAGACATTTTTCAATGAACAAATGATACTTCATCTTCACAATATGATTATTATAGTAATTGTTCAAGTCAAATTAATGTATGTCTGCAGTATTATCTAAATACCTTCAGAATCTGCTGCTGAACCAGTAAGGAATGTTCCATGGAATAAAGTTTATCTTTTTGATTTTTTTGTTCTATAGTTGTTTGTACAGGAGAGATTTTGGTCTAAGCAAATTAATTAAAGAGGTGGAAAGTTAAACATACTGTTTGAGAGAAAGAAAAGCTTAAACTGAAGAAAGGCAATTTTATGATGATGATTAACAGTGTACCTACATCGTTCCCCAACCCCACACCGCCCGCTTCTATCTCCTTCCCAAAATCCACAAACCTGACTGCCCCGGTCGACCCATTGTCTCCGCCTGCTCCTGCCCCACCAAACTTATCTCCACCTATCTCGACTCCATTTTCTCCCCCTTGGTCCAGGAACTCCCTACCTACGTCCTTGACACCACCCATGCCCTCCACCTCCTCCAGAACTTCCAATTCCCCAGTCCCCAACACCTCATCTTTACCATGGATGTCCAGTCCCGATACACCTGCATTCCCCATACAGATGGCCTAAAGGCCCTCTGCTTCTTCCTGTCCCGCAGGCCCGACCAGTCTCCCTCCACTGACACCCTCATCCGCTTAGCCGAACTCGTCCTCACCCTCAACAACTTCTCTTTCAATTCCTCCCACTTCCTACAGACAAAGGGGGTGGCCATGGGTACCCGCATGGGCCCAAGCTATGCCTGCCTCTTTGTAGGTTACATGGAACAATCCCTCTTCCGTACCTACACTGGCCCTAAACCCCACCTCTTCCTCCGTTACATTGATGACGTTATCGGCGCCGCCTCGTGCTCCCACGAGGAGCTCGAGCAGTTCATCCACTTCACCAACACCTTCCACCCCAACCTTAAGTTCACCTGGACCATCTCTAATACCTCTCTCTCCTTCCTGGACCTCTCTGTCTCCATCTCTGGCAACCACTGAGAAATCGATATCCATTTCAAGCCCACCGACTCCCACAGCTACCTAGAATACACCTCCTCCCACCCACCTTCCTGCAAAAATGCCATCCCCTATTC